GTCACCCAGTGAACTCCATCTGATCGTAGTACAACCTGGAAGGAATATGTACGAGATATAGTTATATTGAATAAGATGAACCTGACGTGAGAAAAACATAAGTTTGGGGAATTAAGAAGTAAAGATTAGACAAATGGATGACTAATTTTAACAAAATTTGTACATGAAGAACATTTAGGAACTTTGAGAAGATGCGCACTAACCTGCCTCACCCCGGGAAGACTTAAATTAGTCTGTGTCGATCTGCTAAGGCTGCGTTCCGACATGGACATAGGCTCTTCATGACTTGAAGAACATTTAAGCTTCTAAAACGAGATTAGCATGTTTTTGACGTTGCAAAGCGAATTTTGAACGAACCTCGGTTGAAGACGAAATGATTTGTACATTTTCTATGATGCTGACCTCGTGTGTCACGCGTCCAGCTTCATAGGTCTTTTTCATCTGAAAATTAGAACAGTAGCCGTTGGATTGCGAAGTTAGAAAAAATTCCTTTGCAAATACTCTACTCTTTTCTTATCAATCTCACTATGAAACATCTTGCTTTTTCCGCTTCTTTAAAAAACTGTGCATCAAAGAAAAACCGTACCTTAGCCTGTAGAAGATTAATAACCATAGATACTAGAGAAAGCCCAACAAGTATAAAACCGAACATTGTGACAAGAAGTCGAGGTGAGGATGGCACCAGGTCACCTAAGCCAACAGTGCTGAAAGCAAAAAAAAAATTCACGGTTATGTGAATTTCAGCACAACACGTGCTGCTGCCTCAGCTCTAGGATAAGAGGATGCTTTTTCAATAGAAGTGGCCTCTAAAGAATTTAAGATACCCTTTGCAAAGAAGTCTTTTAGGAAAGGCTATCTCAAATTTCCCTTTTTCCTAAAAACTGCACATTCTATAAAAAACCTTTTTCTTCAATGTAACTTCTGCACTGAAAATGTGAAAAAAAAGAAAGGTTGACGTAATAGCCTTGAATTGGTTTGCGCGACTTTTCTAGATAAGTCTTTGGAAT